AAATCTCAAATTAAGAAATTATAGTGGAGTCAAAACTAAAGATACTATGAACATCAAGATAATAAGAACACTTATTACTATAAAGCACTCTATGTCAGGGACTGGAGCAATAGTATAGCTGGTAGAGCATTTGCCTTGCACATCTCTGACCCTGGTGTAATCTCTGACTTCCCGTATGGTTCCTTGAACACTACCAGTAGTAATTTCTGAGTGCAGAGCCATGCCAGGTGAACAGAAATAGCAAAAAAAAAAAAAAAAAAAAAAAAAAAAAAAAAGGGAAGCACTCTATGCCAAAAAATATTTAAACACTAGGTAACATAAACATTTTTCACCTCAAAATTACAATTTAAAAATAATTGAGCAAAATAGAAAATCTAAATAACTCTCTGTGAGTAAAGATTAACCATTAATAAATAACAAAAATACTGGAGCTGGAGAGGTAGTACAGAAGGTAAGATTCTTGCCTTGCATGTCCCCAACCTGAATATGGTCCTCATGGAATGATTCCTGGGCAAAGGGACATGAGTAAGCCCTGAGCTCAGTTGTTTGCTTTTGTTTTTAAGTTATTAACTGTTAGTAGATTTACAATAGTAAAGCAAAGATGACCTAGTCAATGTTTGCACTGGATGAATAAACAGTCTGATTCAACATGTTGGACCTATGAAGATTTGCTTTTTATTCCTAATACCTGATCAAATAAGTACCCTGGATGTTTATAACTTTAGTCAAAAAAAATTATAGGGTAAATACAAAACAAAGTAGTTGTCTTATGGCTGAGTAATACTCCGTTGCATACCATCGTTTCTTCATCCAGTTTCCTATTCTTGGACACACTTTAATTACAGATTTTAATTATTGTGAATAGAACCGCAAGGAACAGAGGGGTGCAAATGTCTTTTCTCCATTTTATTTTTGGGCCCTTGGAAAGTATTCTAAATAATAAAAGATAAAACCATGCAATTTGCTGCTATCAAAATAGATATGAAAAGTATAACACTTGTCAGCTAAAGAGAATGACACAGATCTCTCTCATGTAAGTGATAAAGAAACACTTATATGTTGGAGGCAAGAGAGTTGGAGAGAGGAGAGAGCAGGGCTGCAAGATGAACCGCAGAGAGACTAGCAAGGGGAACACGTTCTTGAGAGAACCTAGGCCCTCCATAACATAGATTTCTTCTACGGGATAAACTTCCTTGTAATAAACTGCTACTAAGACCGGCCAGCCTAGCCCTCTTCTCTTCCTTTGTCTGCCTTGGCCAACAGCCATCCCAATCCAGACTCATACACAGCTGCTCAAGAGCACTGAACGCAGGCGGTGAGACATAGCTGTCTGGAGAGCCCGCGAACACACAACCTTCAGCCATCAAGGTTACTGCCTTTTCATGATGTTTGGTGGCTATGAGACTATAGAAGACTACGAAGATGACCTCTACCATGAAGAATCATCAAGTGAACTTAGTGTTGACAGTGAGGTGGAATTTCAACTCTATAGACAAGTTCATTATGCCTAAGATCTGGATAATGTCATCAGGGAGGAAGCACAAGAAGAGATGCTCTCTGGGAATTCTGAATTGTCTAGTAAACCAAATCAGAACTTAATTATCCTTTCAGATAGTGAGGTTATCCAGTTACCAGATGGGTCAAAGGTCATCACTTTGTCTGATGAAGATAGTGTTTATAGATGTAAATGGAAGAATTTTAGAGTTCAAGCCAAAAAATAAAAGACCCGAGGTTCTCCTGCTTCTCTTTCTTCTAATGAGTTGGCTGATAAGAAAAGTAAGAAGAATATTAAGAAACCTCAAATCAGAGAGAGAACCAGTACAGTCCGAGAGGTCATGGTCATAGAGGTCAGTTCAAGTGAAGAAGAGAGTACCATTTCAGAAAGCGATAATGTGGAAAGTTGGATGCTCCTAGGATGTGAAGTTGATGATAAAGATGATGATATTCTTCTCAACCTTGTTTGATGTGAAAATTCTATTAATAAAGGTCACAAGTTGCCCCCTACGAGTGGCTCTCTGGCACGGCCATGGCTCCAGAGACACAAGGACTTAATGCAGAGCCCGGCAGCTTGCAGCAGAAAAGTGAATGGACTATGCATTAATCCATGGTACCATGCCTCCCCAGGAGAGAAGGGGTGTCGCTCCCTTCCACCTTTTTCCCCCTGGGCAGCAAGATGGCAGCCACCTCAGAGTTTTTTGGAAAGCCAGGAAGGAGCCAGCGGTGACTGGGCAACTGCAACCTCATGGGAAGGGGGCGTTCCTGGCTTGTTCTTCACGCCCTACGGAGATCATGAGTTGCCCTACACAAGCAGCTTTCCGGCACGACCATTGCTCCAGAGCCACAGAAACCAAACTCGTAATTATCTGGCTCTTGGCAGAAATCCCTCCAGGCTTAATAAGTAAAATATCAGAAATCCAAAGTAGTAGCTGCGTGACATCATATGGTTCTCATAACCAGCTGTAGAAAACAAATTATTTCACAATGCCTTTTCAACAATTCTGATTGTTGGGTGTAAACTCTAAACAATAACGGTGCATCTTTTGTCGAAATAATGAATGTATTCATTATTGAATTCATTATTGAATGTATTCAAAGTACATAGGAATTAAGTAGAATTCATCTGCCTCACAGGCATTGGGAGGGGTGGGAAGGGGGTTATTGGGGTTCTTGGTGCTGAAAAATAAGTACTGGTAAAGGAAAAGGTGTTTGATTATTGCATGACTGAGACTTAAACCTGAAATCTTTGTAACTTTTCCCACAGTGATTCAATAAATAAATATTTAAAAAAAGAAACATAATGGTGGAATAATAAATACACAAAGACAGTGGAAACAAAGATCTTGAGAACTGGTATTCAGTAGTAAACATGCCACTTGAGGGAAGGGAAGAGAGAGAGGGAGCAACAATGATGGTGGAAGGAAGTGTTCAACCAGGAGGAGTAGGTGGTGCTGAACGATGGTAAGGTGTTATGTCCGATTCCCTTTCAGTAACAGTACTCTAAAACACAGAGCAAAAACTTACATTAAAAATGCCTCTCATAGAGTCAAACTGATGAATGGGAGGAAAATGGGGGACAGGCCATTGATGGAGGGAGGTTGACACTGGTGACTGACGGGATGGATGTTGAAACATTGTATACCTGTGACCTAATCATGAATAACTTTGTGATTTTATGGTGACTAAAGAAAATGAAAAAATACACTTCTTCCTTTATTAAAATACTGTGGATTACAAAATTATTCATAGTTATGTTTTGGACAATGTTCCATCACCAATCCTACCACCAGTGTTTACTTCCCTCCACCAGGTTCTCAGGTTTTCTCCCCTACCTGTCCCCTACCCAGAGGTTACCTGCCATGTTGACATGCAACTTTTAAATTTGATTATTCAAGTTTAGACCTCGTGATTTCAGTGTTGTTGACTCTGGTTTGGAATTCTAGATCTATCATTCCTTAATTCGGCCAATATGCCTGAATTCCCTTGAGCCCTGTTCCCATTGCTTCTCATTTATCACTTTTTGCTCTTCCCTTCATTCATCCTATTTCTTTCCATTTCTACCATATACTCTGGGACCAAAGGTGATTAAGGCACCTCTTAAACCATTGTAATTCCTCATCCAGTTATTCTATATGTCACATATAAGTGATCATTTTATCACTGTCATCCCGTTGTTTGTCTATTTACTCAAGCAGGCGCCAGTAACGTCTCTATTTCTCCCAACCCTGAGATTTTAGCAGCCTCTTCTTACTCATCTTTTACCAATGATTGGAGGCTCTTTCAGGGTCAAGGGAACGAGACCTGTTATAGTTACTGGTTTTGACATATCAAATATGCCACGAGGAGCTTGCCAGGCTCCGCCTGTGCTGGTGGGATACTCTCGGTAGCTTGCCGGGCTCTCTGAGAGGCATATATTTATATATTTCTCTCTATTATTTGTTGCCTACTGTATGAACTCCATCAAATATGGTGTGGTAAATATCAAAAATGGGTAGAAAGTGTTTTAGTAGCCGTGTGGTCCGGAAAGCAGCTGGAGAGTGGTGGCAGTTGGGTAGTGGAGCTCAGATGCTGGGACTGTGTCTCTTGGGGCGGGGAGGGCTCTCTTGGGGGGGGTGCCCCCGAGGCACCTGGCCCTCAGCGTTACCATGGCCTAGCACCCAGCCCATGTGCCCCTCGCTGCTGGTCTCCTCCCTGCCCGCCACCCCTTTCCAAGTTAGCTTCCCCAGGAGAGCTCCTGGCCAGCAGATCAAGGTTGAGTTGGGGGCAGGGGGACATGTGTCAGAAACACAGGGTGGAGAGAGCCCTGATGTGCGCCCGGGAGGCAGTTCTGATAATGTTCCTGAATCATGCCAGAGACACCAGCCCGGAGCAGAGGCAGCGGGTCCGGCTGACCCACAGCCTGCCCACTGCTGCCCACCTCCTGCAGGGCGGCTGGAGAACACTAACTCCTCCTCAATAAAAGCCAGGGTGGGAACGCTGAAAAAAAAAACCCACTCCACTCTGGGTCGCCGCGAGTGAAAACAGCCTGGTGCAGAGTCTGGTTATATCCTATGTTTATTCTTCTTCCTCTGGTTTACTTCATTTAACATGATATCTACAAATTTCATCCATGATGCATAACTTCATCATCCCTTAAAGCTGTGTCATAGCAATTTATTATGTATATATACCACAATACACATTCTTCCTCCCTCTCTCCCTTCCTTTCTTCCTTCTCTTCCCCCTCTCTCTTCTTCTCTTTCTCTCTTTCTATTTCTATCTTCTTTGTGTCATTGATTGATGAATATTTTCCTAGAATGAAGCTGAAATAATACCAAGAACCCAAACATTTTAGCTGTTTGTGGAGAACATCACATAAAATTATTTAGTCATTGATAAGATGGACTTGTATTGAAGAGCAAGAATTTAGATTGTACCTAGACAACATTCACTTCACTGGCAGTTTTTATAAAAATTGGGATTCTGTAACCTGCTATTTATTATTAGATAAAAAGAGAACTCACCTTGATCTTATAAGATGAAGTATTAAGATTTTTTTATTTATCCTTAATTCATACAACAATTCATCTTCATAAATTTCCTGAAAACAATGTTTATGTGCTCAGTTAGTATGTGGGGCAAATAGTGAGGTAGATGGAGAGGAAATTTCAACTCTCATAGTCCACCCAGCAATACTCTAATTAATACTCTACAAAATACAAACTACTGAAAAAACTAAATTTTCAATTTTTAAATAAAATTTTTATGGGAATTTTTCTAATTATCACCGTATCACTGTCATCCCGTTGTTCATCAGTTTGCTAGAGCGGGCACCAGTAACGTCTCCATTCATCCCTTTTGCGTGCTAGTGTAGCCCAATGGTGTCTGCTAGTTCCAGGAGTACAAAGAACCTGAGATTTTGGCAGCCTCTCCTTACTCGTCCTTCCTAACGCTCCCACACTGGGGGCTCTTTCAGGGTCAGAGGAATGAGGTCCGTTATTGTTACTGTTTTTGGCATATCACGGGTAGCTTGAAGGCTTGCTGTGCAAGGGGAATACTCTTGGTAGCTTGCCGGGGCTCTCCGAGAGGAAAAACTGCATCACCCTTTTCCGGGAGCGTTGTTTTATAGTCTCTGGATCTTGGCTGTTGCTGAGATTACATGGTACGGGGTGGGGGGGGGGCGGGCAGTTTGTGAGTGTGACTGCCAAGCTACTGGAAAAAATTTCCAGTTTCTAATTATAAAATGTGAAAAATTAAAAATGTATATTTCCCTTATTTATCCTTGCAGTCTCTACCCTGAATGTTTGATTCATCTATCTTAAACAGTTTCTATATTGTTACATAGTCTACTTTTTCACATAAAATGTTAATGACATTTTTCTTTAAAATTTTTTTTCTATAACCATATGTTTTACCAAGTTTTTCATAATACAGTTGTTTCAGGCAATAAATGTCCCAACACCAATCCCACCACCAGCGTGACCTATCCTCCACCAATGTCCCCAGTACACCCTACCCGCAATCTGCCCACTGGCAAGCACAGTCAAATTTACTTCATATTGTTTGTTACAACACAAAGGCAAATTATTTGATAAAGTATTAGACCAATAGCCATCAACTTTTGATGATTATAATATCTAACATTGGTGTTACTCAAGTCATCTACTGTGCTAGTTAGTGATTTGATTCTTTTGTGTTATTGTTCAAGTTTATAATGATTGGTGGACTTCTATAAAATTTTCCAGTCAAATTGACTATGATACTACTGAGCTGTGAAAATCTGAAGGTTCTACAGCAGTGTATGTGGCCATGCAGTTAATGAGCTATCTGGAATAATTTGGTGGCCTGGGCATTTGATGAAGTTCTGTTGTGAAGCTGGGCTGTTTCTAAGCCAGGGGGTGTCAGGTATGACGTAGGTTGCTTGGCCTTCTGGCATAAAAGAGAGTCTTCCTGGCCCCATTCTCAGAAAAAGCGCAAGTTCTCAGTCTTCATCAGTCTACCTGGGAGGGTTGGGTAGTATCCTGTTGTCTTAAACTGGTGATACTGAGCCCTTTCTCTGCCAGAAAGATTGCAGTTACTGACATCTGGGTGATCGGGTCTTCATTGTAGTTAGAATGTCATTGTCAAGGGCATGGAAAATAATGATATCTATTATTAAATACTTCCAGGTAATTCTAAAGGGAAATATTAAAATTTAGTATTTTAACACAGTATATGGGGTTTGTTTTATTGTCTAAGTATTATAATTAATGCAAGTCTCTAAAGTAATTAAATGATATCTTAATGTAAAAAATGTCTCCTCTGATGGCAATTGCCATTGGAATTTTTTTATTTGTAATAAGTGAATTTATAATTTATGTATTGTCACTATATTTCTTTTGTGGAGTTTTATCTCTGTTTCATGAAAGTTGTTATTTACAAATGCATATATTTTGCATATTTAGTTAGTTTATGTTTGCTCATTTATTGCAAATGTAGAAATTAAATGGAAAATTCAGTGGGTGCAATATAGAGGTTCACTGAATTCATAGAAGTCACAACTCCCTATGAAGAAATTCAATTAACATATTGTATTAAATATAATATCTTTATAATACACTAAAATTTAACTTAATATATTATAAATATCATAACAGGAAAATGCAATTTATTTTCAAAAACGGGAGTATTAAAGGGAGAAATCAGAGTAAGGAACTACATTTACAAAAGTACTAAAGTAAGATGGAGCTTGATACATTTGACGAATGGTCAGAAGTTCAATAATTGCTGAAAATCAATTTTAAGTTGAATAGAGTGAGAACTGAAAAGATAGATAGGAACCAAATCATGTACACCTTTGTAGGATACTTAAAAGGATTTGGATTGAGACTAAAAGCAGAAAAGCAAAAGATTTTGCCAGCGAAGTGCAGAAGTATTTTAGATTACTTACTACTGGATAATAAAATAGTAGAAATCATTGCTTTAGGCAAGAAAATAATTTATACTGCTGATCTTATACACAACATTTGTGCAGGAGTGGCAGAAGGAATAAGGAGCATAGATCTTGTCAAGCTAGAACATACAAAGTGTGATGATTGAAGAGTAAAACCAAAGAAGTCAAGAGTTATTGCAGTTTATAATTTGTGACATTGCCAAAACGAGTCTCTCCTAAAGTAGAATTTTCAGGAAGGTTGGAAGGGGCATCTTGTATTTGTTGCATGTAAGCTGTTTATTACTTAGGAATTTTTTCTTATTATAATTCTCACGTAGAATTGGATGTTTATTTTAAGGACAGAGTTTGCATATAAAAACAGCTTTCAGTAATTTTTTTTTAAAAAAAGGGTTTCTCTTTACAGCACGATGAACTATATGAGCTCTCTCTGTGTGTGTACGTGTGTATGGTACATGTGTGTAACAGGAATAGTACAAATTTTGTGGAATTTGAATTAATGGCCCATTCGAGTTCGATTCCTCCGCTCCTCTCAGAGAGCCCGGCAAGCTACCGAGAGTATCTCGCCCGCACGGTAGAGCCTGGCAAGCTACCTGTGACGTACTCGATATGCCAAACACAGTAACAATAAGTCTCATGATGGAGACGTACTGGGCCCGCTCGAGCAAATCGATGAACAGGAGGACCGTGATGGGGAGGACTGTTGAATTAATGGAACTCTCACATTTTACTGGAAATTTTAAAGTGACACCCTTTATTTATTGTTGCTTTTTTCAGGGTTTGCAAAACCCGGCTGTACTCAGGCTGAGCTCAGGGATAATTCCTGGTGGGCTCCAGAGAACATAATGGTGCGTGGATCTAATCCAGACTAGTAGCATTCAAGGCAAGAGGTTTACCCAGTTTACAATCCTTCCAACTCCTAAAATGACCCTGTAAAATGTAAATTTCACTGAGTTTTGTTTTCTAATTTGTCAATGGCTTGCTTCCTCCACTTGCTTCTTATCCTCAATTGTGAGCCCAGGACCAACATGAACTGGAGTTTTCAGAAAAAAAATTTAAGCTCTTGTTTGCTTCTAACTGGAACCAGAACTTGCTTTACATGTGTCTTAATTATTACATCAAAATCGCTACCTGAATGTCATTGTCACGGATGTACTCAACATCTCGTTTATGAATCAGAGGAAGCCTTTTAGGAACAACCAGCTCTTGACTCTGCTCTCCAAGAATTACCTTTTCTGAAAGGAAACATAGGAAAGAAAATATAGCTGACATTAATAGCCACAGAGTGTGTGGATAACAGAATCATTCTCACAGAGTTCCATTGCTGTCAATTAAGTGCTCCATAAGATACTGACAAAAAGTGCTCTGAATTTATTGGCAAAGGAATTATCTAGACCAACATTTCATATTTAGGAAAACATAGCAAGTCTCCTTAAGTATGCAAAAAAGTCCAGAATCCTTTATCTTCTTTTCACTTCATCCTCTTATGTTTCTTATTTCTGCCTCTGGATTCTACCTTCTGTCAATGTCTATTCCTGTAAGAAACTGTTGCAAAGTAAGTTATTGATTTCTTCTTCTGAAAACATTTGAATTTGAAGTATTGACTTTAATAGTTAAATATAAGGATTTTAATCATTAATGGGATTTTAGATAGTATTGAATTCATGGTAAGCATAATAAATACATTTCTAATCACATTGTTGGCTATCTGAGGTTTTTTCTATTTATCTCATTAAAATGTGTTCTAGAGAAAACTGTAAGATTTTAGAATCTGCTTACATTAATAACTTTTTAAATCAGTTTATTATTTATATGACCACATTTAATCTCTATATCTTTATATATTAATCTCGGTTTTCTTATTAATAATGTGGAATTAAGTATGATGATTACAATGATTTTTGATGCCAGTGAACCCAGGGCCTTAATTCATATGTGACATGAATTCTATGGCTGAGATGCATCCCTTGCTTCATAAGCAATTTAATCTTGGTAATGGCTAACACGGTATTTGCTACATGAAAATTTTTAGTAATTCACATTTCTTTCTCTTTCTCACTATAAATCAGAGTACTTGAGAATCATATAGAACAACAGAATAGAACAGCTGATGATTTTGTCATTTTCATCATAAACTATGTGGCTAAAGAAAATACCACATAGCATCTTAAGAAAATCCCCAATAAAAGTTGAAGACATACCTTTAATCATAGAAATGAGTAAAATCATGAAAAATAAACTCCCAGGAAACATTTTGATTCTGATAGAAGAGTACTTGAAGAAAGATATTCAAGCTCTTTGTCCTTGCTTTCACAAGGATGAAAAACAAATAGACTTTGATCTAGCAGAAGGAAATGTTCCTTGACCATGTTACACAATTTGTGAGATGCTTGATCAAAAACTTGGACCGTGAACAACTTGTACCAATTAAACCAACCACAGAGGGGTGATGGCAAAGGTGGACTGAGCAAAGATAAGGTCAAATATATATAGACATATATAAATATTATTTCAGACATATGATAAATTAAAAAATTAAATTGCATTGCTTAGAAAAATGATTAAAACATTTTAGTAGAAAATATTCTATTTATGCAGATGTAATAATTGTTAAAGAAATTATAAAGGTAATAGATTAGACAGAAATATTGAAAAAACTTATGCCAGATATAATGAATTAATTTAGGTTATAAAAAACTTTTGGCAGTTAGGTGATAGTTCATACCTGAGTTTGACCCCATAACTCTATAGTTCCTTGGTAGAGTCAGGAGTAATCCCTTACCACAGAAATAGGAGTAAATCCTGAACACCACTTGGTATGCCCCTCCCCCTGCAACAAAATTAAATAAATTAAAAGAAAAAGTCCTGCAATGGAACAAATTTAACCAAAAAATGAGGGTAAATATTTCAATATAGAAATCATGCAAATTAATGAAACAAAACCAGATAGGAAAAATACAAAAAATATACAAAGAATTTATATAAAACTATATGATGCCTAATTTCTCTTGTTTTATTATAATGGGAAAATATTTGTTAAATATTTTTTATTCTCCCTATCTCATATTTTAGTATTCCCATAAACTGGAGCGATAGCACAGCGGGTAGGGCGTTCGCCTTACAAGCGGCCAACATGGCCGACCCGAGTTCGATTCCTCCGCCCCTCTCGGAGAGCCCGGCAAGCTACCGAGAGTATTTGATATGCCAGACACAGTAACAACAAAGTCTCCAATGGAGACGTTACTGGGCCCGCTCGAGCAAATCGATGATCAACGGGAGGGCCTTTTTTTAACTGGAATATTCCATATGTATTTTTATATTTATACATATTTTATATTTATATTTTGTCTTTAATATGTCTATTTATGTCTTTTCCCTTTAAAAATATTCTGTCTACCATAACTCTATTTGGCCTCTCTCCTTTATACTTTAACTAAACTTCTCAGTCTTATCTCTACATTTTGTGAATTTTATAATGTTCAACTCATACTGAACACATTCCATTCTGGTATCTCTGTAATTTTTAGAGCTTGATGAAACTTTTTTGTAATTGCTTCTACATTTTGTACTTAGCTAAAAATGGGTTTAAGTACAACATCTTTGCCATAGTGATAGTCTAAGTGTTAAACGACAGAACTGACAGTCAATCTTACTTTCTGTAGTTGATTTACTCTAGTTTTTAGTTGATTATTTCATAGTTTTAGAGTTGTCTCATCTCTCTAAATCTTTTTCCTTACTCTCAGATTATGACTTCTTTTTTTCACTGATAGAAATGAAACCATCAAATAAAATATCTCACCTTCTCCATCTAACTTGCTGTAAATTTCTATAGCTGTCCTTCACATCCCTCTAAAGTCTATGCCATTAATATTTTAGATTCCACTCCGTGATTCCTCACTGTTATCAATCTGGTAATAAGTTCCCTGTTTCATATACATCTGTAGCACTGTAGCACTGCCCTCCCATTGTTCATCAATTTACTCGAGTGGGCACCAGTAACGTCTCACAACAAATTGTGAGACTTGTTACTGTTTTTGGTATATCGAATACGTCACGGGTAGCTTGCCAGGCTTTGCCAGAGGGCGAGATACTCTTGGTAGCTTGCCGGGCTCTTGGAGAGGGGTGAAGGAATCGAACCCAGGTTGGCGGCTTGCAAGGCAAACCCCCTACTCATTGTGCTATCACTCCAGCCTTCATATACATTATCCCAATTAATATCTATCTCTTATATACTCCACTATATTAGTATCATAGTAGTCTATAATATATATAATTACTGAATGCTATACAATTCATACCTTTTGTGAGCTTCTTTCTTTGTTTTGCTTTAATTTACTTAGATTCTTTTCTCAACGTCTAAATACTCCAAATCTTTTACTTTAAATGCTGTTTTGTTTTGTTTTGGGGGTCACATTTAGCTGTTCGTGGGGCTTACTCATGGTTCTGGGCTCAAGGATCATTCCTGGAGGTGCTCAGGGAACCATATATAGTGTCAAGCATTTAACTAGGTTGGCTGTGTGCAAAGCAAGTGTTGTAAGCCCCTACCATCTCTTCATCCCCCTTTTACTTTTTTTTTTCCTAAAGAACATTTTAGTAGCAACAGGAGTGCAATGTAGGGAGACATGTTATGTCCAGTCATTTTTTTTTCAAAATATTTAAGATTGCCAAGTTCAAAGAGCCAGGACTTTGCACTGATGATTTGATTAGCCTGCTTAGTTCTTGTTGCCCCTCTGAGGGTACTCCTACATAGGTGGCTTGTCTTTCATCTTCCTACAGATTCAGATGAAGCATGCTTTTTAAGGTTGATTGGACAGAACTCAGTATAATTAATAATCATGGTCTTCATACCTTGCCTCCTATGACCTCCAATTTCTCAGTGAAAAACCATAACTTGTCTCTTTTCTAAACTCTCACATCCAGTAACGTATTATTTATGACACATGTTACTTCTATTGCTAAAACTGTTCCTTCCTAAAACCCTGCTAATCTCTGTCTATGCTGAAGCTTGATTTCTTTTGATTGTTCTGTGTCTATTTTTCACTTTTCTTCTTGCTATTGTGGGCTAGAAACATTAAAATCTGAGGTGTTCCATAACTTTGTTTATATCTTAGCAAGCGATTTCTCTTAAATATATGCATATACTCTACCTATTACTGTTTTCAATAACCAGTTGAACTAATTCAAAAACTTGTGCATTAGTATAAATTATTAGAAAAAAATATTTTATTTATTAAATATAGGCAAAACTTTTTAATACAAACACCAGGACTCACATTTATGTGTCCCCTACAGGTCTAATAGTATCAGCCTTAGCACATTCTTGGGACTCAACATAAAGTACTGTAAGTTGACTTACATAACTTTAATGTTTTATTCAGTTTACAGGATACATAATGAATATTATATATCTGTTTAACTAAAATATTTTCACTAAAACTCTCATTGCTCCAAAATGCAAACTTGTCTGAATGTGATAATATCTCAGTAGTCTAGCAGTTCAAACTCTAAATTGCTTTCCCCCCAATTGTGCTTTGATTAGTTTGATCTACATGTGCTGGTACAAGCAGTGCTTCATTAACCATGACACAAAAGCTGGATACAATGCTCAAATTTTTGCCAGAAACTTCCCATGATCAAAGCTGTTTCCTCATAAATAAGGAAGGGAATATTGGCACCAAGACATTCCTTAATTTAGAATGCAAAATCTTGAATTATGCTTGTTAACTCTTCTATTTCATAGTGAAATAATGTGCAGACCCAGGGTATTCATTTTGCTTTAATAAAATATTGCTTTAATAAAATAAATAAAATATTACTCAAATAGGAAATAAAACCACTAAATATCAAAAACAAAAGTCACCTACTAAAGGATAAGTCTGTTTCATGTCTATTCTCTTGAATAATTGATGAGACTTCCAACATTTTATTTTACCTCTTAATTCTGAGAGAAACATATTATTACAGCAGTGTTATTCTTTTAAAACGTCAAAATGTATTGAAGTGACAGTACAGCATGTAGGGTGCTTTCATTTTACAAGTTTGACAGATTTTGATCCCCAAATAACCGACAGGCTCCACCCTAGACTCACCAGTGGGCCTTGAGCACAGAACCAGGAGTAAACCCTGAGCACTAGGAGGTGTGATCCCAAAACTAACTTGATAAAATTAAAATAAATGTAAAAGTGATCAGCATCTGCACATGCAGTTTGAAATTAAGGAATGCAAACCCTTCAAATTCTTTGTAGATGTCATGAAAGATAAAGGCAACTTTTCTTCAGTGTCTTGGTTATATTGGGCCTTCTATCTACTTGTTCCAGGTTAAAAGTAGAAATAGAAATTCAAGTGTTTTCTCATCTTTTCTCACAAAAATTTCTTCTTTTAAGATCCATGCTTATTTATCTAAAATTATTAAGAGTAATTTACAAGCAAACTATTTTTTTCTCACTCCCTATGAAGCCAGGAATCATGCTTTTTGTTTTGTTTTGGGCTTGATAATCATTTTATGTTGGTTGATGTGGTTTGAACCCCTTCAGTCTAACTTCTACCATATACTTTTTTGAATTTACTGTTTTTTTCAACTGGCAACACATAGTTTTAGAGACTGCAATACACTTAACAGGGTCATTTGCCAGATATTAGCAGATGATGATTTTCCAGCATATTTGAACTATTTAGTGATATCATATTATTATGAATTAAAGTGAAATTATTTAAAAAGTCAAATGAAGTCAAATTTCTTAGAATTCTGATTTGTACAGGAAATTGGATTCTCAAAAAAAATGATAAAGGTCAAATAGAATGATGCAAATGATGATAGAATAGAATAGATAAAAAGGAAGTAAGGAGGTTATGGTGCCACCAGCATGTCAATCTGTACTTGTGAGGCAAGTGCATCAGCAACCTGATGGTGGCTTCAGACTTCCAGACACCCGCAAATTGCTGCTGTGCCTTTGGCCAGACCCCAATAACTGGGGGCAAAGTTTACTAAGAAAGTAAACAGACAAAAGTTAGATATGTGGTGGGAGGCACATCCACAAACCACCTCCGGCTCAGCTATATAATTCGAGGCATGACCTCTCTGGTTCCTGATCAGACTGCCTAACGGCCATGATCCCAGAGACTCAGAAACAAATCTCGAAACCCCATGGCTTTTGGCAGAAATGCGTCTGGTCCCTGCAGTAGGTTACTGGCGCTGGGCCAACCCAAGTGGGAATAGATTTCATGCCTTGACCTGTTCCCCCTGGCAGCCTGGT